ATGGTAAGCATTTGGTGGCTGACGATACCCGGGTGGTAAGGGCCCACAATAAAGAACAATAACTCGAATTCTAAAATCGAAAACAGTAAGCATACGAACATATACACATTTATGCGTGTCTACCTATGCAGGCAGGCAGGCAGGCAGGCAGGCAAGTAAGCTAGCCAGCAAGCAACCAGGCAGACAAGCATGCATGCATACATACATCGAAGAAAGAAAATTGACGTGTGTGTCAATTGCGCTTTTTTTTAGCTGTTTTCTGCTTTGTTTTTTGTTTGGTGCAATAAAAAGGTGCTCTTAACAATATCGATTATAAAATACAATGTACGGCACAATGAGCAAATAGTTGGATTCCTTGATTCTTTTATATACACACTTGTGTACGATTGTCGTTTTTGTATGCAATTAAAAAATATATGTACACCAATGGTTTGGTTAAACTTATTAAAGTTATTATTAAGAATGGTTTCGTGCGACGTAAAGCGAAATTTAAATCAATATTGATAGTCCCCCCCATTATCATCATTTGTTCGTCTTCCTAATAACATTACTATTAAAATGTCATCGTTTCGTTTGTGTTGATTAAATAATATATTCTCTGCTTAGTCCTTCACGCTGCTCAAAACCTTTAATGAATTCTTTTATTTAAAATGATTTAGTTTTCATTTTTTTTTTTTTTTTTTGCTTCAGAGAAAAAGTCACAATGTAATCACAAAAAGTACGCAAACGTTGGACAAGAACATGTAACTGAGTTTTTTGTAACACTTTTTTAGTGTGATTTGGGCATTTTTCAACTTGACCTACTAATACCTAACTGAAGTAAGTCTTTTCAACAAAGGGATATACAATTTTTTGTTTGCCTGTATAATCAAAAAGGACTATGGAGAACTATGGATTGAATACAAGAGGGCAAGTGTTTGAAATGATTTTTCTCGTATTCAAGACCTCAATTATTGCAATAAGAGAGAGTCCATGATCCGATCGAACACAACCGATTTGAACTAGACTGAAACTTCCATAGGTTTGTGATAAATATCAAGCTTTATCTTAGTGCCTGTCATAGATTGCATATTGTGAGGATGACTGACTATTTTGAAAACAAGTCGGACTCGAAGTGACTTGTATAATAATTACGAAGGAAATGCTTCAATATGTTCTTTACTCCTTTGAAGCATTAGAAAGAAGAAGAAATCGTTTGCTTGCATTTTTTTTTTCATTTTGAATTCTTTTAGATTTGTTTGTGCAATAAAAATAATTCTAAATTGACTGCTTTGACGATTGTGAAATTTTCAGTTAACTCATTGACATACCGTTTATTAATTTATTTCTTTTATTTTAATAATACAACAATTAAAATTCTAAGCTAAACAAAAAAAAACAAGCGGGGAGGCTGCAAGACTTTTGAGTTCTAGCTGCCGCATAGTTGACTAGAGAGGAATCGCGAATACCAAGTCGGTGTTCGCGGGTTCAAATCTCAGTCCGATTTATCGTGGCTATACTATTGTCAATTATATAAGTTTTTTTATATGATTCCATACAAGTATCGGCATTAATTTGTATTTATTACAAATATTGCAAATTAGTTATACATTACAACATGATAGCTATATTTCTAGTATGGTAACTTCCATTGCGAATTTCTTTACTGCTTTCGAATATCATTTACATATTTTTTTTTAGTGTGAAGTGAAAGTTTTCCGCCATCCCGGCTTTCCTTCTGTCAGTCTGTTAAAGAAGTCATATTTATGGCTTTCAAGTTTTGTATAAAAGAGCGAACAACATCTCAAATTATTTATCATTTTTAGATAAAGACAGAAATTGCATGTATTTTTTTTAATATAGAAAATTTTCACGAATAACTCATTCCACTCAAGCGCTGTAACGTCTGCCGGAGGGATCTTTGAGTATATCCAATAGAATAGCGTTCTAATGAAAAATGCTTTCAATCTGTCGTTCGGTATGTTGCGACCGTCCTACTTTTGACGGAGGGCTTCATTATATCAGACTGAGTTGAGTTCAACTCGTTCTCCTATGCTCGTACTAAAGGAGTCATGAATATTGAGCTTCATTGTGCATGTTTACTTGGTTGGACTCACTATGTCTGTATGTTGGAGGCTTTTTTATTTCTGTTATTGTCTCTTGCCTCTTGGCATAGCCGTCCTTCTTCAAACAAACCATACGATTTATTTTTTAACGCTGTAACTTATGCTGTTACGGGAGGGGTCATAAATAGACACGTTAGTGTTGTCCCATACGAAGTGGTACCAGAAGTTGCTTTAAAATGTATATAAAGTTTGAAAATCAATTAAATGGATTTGTGGCTTTGGCCATAATTTCGCTAATTGCGGTTAATTTAACTTGAGTGTCTAAAGCCGAACCAAAAATTTGAACAAATGTCTGACGGAACCGCACGTCTTTCGTCCATTTATTCAATAATGTCTTCAAAGTTGAAAAGTTTCAAGTTTCCCTTCAGCTTATATTTCATTCACATGCACTAAAAACCCGTACATCAACAAGATAAAGCCTTTAGTGAACCTTCGTCTTTTAAAGGACGTCTTGCAAAAAGCATTTGCAAGACAATTATTTCCCACTGCTATGACAAAGTTGGCATTTTGCACACAAAGAGTTTTATCTCACATCAGTGCAGGTAGTAAAGTACTATTGCGCCTTCAAGAAGAAATTTTCACTAGAGGGAGACGAATTTTCGCTCGCAGTTCCTACAAGTGATATGAAATTTGGAGCAGACTCTTCGTCACCTTACTTGTGGTCATTCGTACCATAAGTTATTTGAAAAAAACGTTACCAAGTCGTCATGCATGGATGAAGAAAGTGAATGGCATCTCTTCTTTTTTGTTCAAAGCTCACTTCTTTTTCTTAAAACTTTTTTTTATTATTTAAAAACTGCAAGCATAATATTTTGACTGTTTTGTTTAAATTCCATAGATCGCTTCACACTATTTCCAGTTTATTCGAAAATGTTTTTCGATTATGTGTAAAATGTTCTGTATTCTTGCGTCACACTTTTTACAAAAACATTTCTACCGGATGGAACAAGTCAATCAGTGTCAGCATCGGAAACGTGTTACCGTTTGTCTCCGTTCCTACTGAATTTTCTTCTTAAATTATTAACATAAACATTGTAGCCAACTAAAATGAGGGATTTGTGTCCTGAGGGATGAATTGTTCATAATTAAAGAGAAGGTGGAAATGAAGTTTTTAAAACCAGTTACTTTTTAAACCAATTTTTGAAAATAAAAATTTAGTATATAGTTTTATTCACCTTTTCCCTCAAGCCCTAAGCAGAAAAATAACTACATAGTAGTTGCTAGATTTCATGGTTTTTATAACATTTAAACTGGCGTAACAAGCAAGAAGACACCGGGAGCCTAGGGGACTACTTACGCTTTAACTGGGATTTTCGCAGTTAAACAGTTAAGCTCGCTGGGAACACATCGTCTAGACCCCATTGCGTATGCGAATTAAGAGACAATGAATAAATTTCTAACTTTCGGCGGTGGTGAAAAAACAAATACACAAACAGACATTCGTACACACACACACAAACACGCACAATATAAAACAACAAAGCAGCAGCAGCAGCAGCAGGTGTTATAACATTGCATGTTAATTCTACGGATAAAAAATATTGCCGGGCATTTTACAACTGCGAGAAAACAACATTATTCAGAACTAAAGTAAAAATGGGGAAAAAATGGAATAAATAACCGCAATAATGACAACAGTAACGAAAATGTTGTAAAAAAATATATATTTCTGTCAACTTTAAACGAAAATACTTGGGTACACTGGTTTGAATAAAAGCACATATTACACACTACATATATTTATACATATATACATATAAATATATATGTATATATTTGTGCATGCGTTTAAACTTTTGTATACCTACACGTATCTACGTTAGTCAAGAGTTAGTAAAGCAGCTCACATGAGACTCGGCGTACACTAAAATGTAATTAACAAATGCAACCAACTAAGATGATGACAAGACAAAAACAAAAACAATAAAAACAAGAACGAACGACACTGAACCGCCGAAGAATGAGTGAATGTTGAGGGAAGAATACAATACATATACATAAGTATACACAAACACACGACACATTCAGTACACAATGCTAATGTCGCTGCGTAAAATTCACACGCCAACGTATTCAATACACAGATAGGTAGGTAGTTAGGTACACTAAAGGTATATACTAAAGTCAGTAAGTAAGTGCATGTATTGTACTTCAAAAAAATAAAAAAAACAAAAAAAATTTTACGTAAATATGTGTAATTAGTAGCAACAAAACAACAACAATAACAATAACAATGAGTGCACATTTTGAAACATAGTTTCGTGGTTTTAGCAAAAAAAAAAAAAAAAAAAAAAATAATCGCACATATACACACATACACACACACGCGCAACGTACATGCTCAAGTGGCCGTTCTCTATACAAAACAAATGACACACACACATACACAGATGCTCTCGAAGCAAATACACACTATACCCAGTTTTAGAGATTGGTTAGGATGTGAACCTTATAACCATGTCAAGTGCCTTGAAGACAAAAAAAAAGCAAAAAAAAAAAAAAAAGGAAAACAAAAACAAACAGAAAGAATAACCAAAAACAAAAAAGGGTCTCACGATTCATTTACATTCGAAATATACGCGTATGTGTAATAAAAAATAATGCAAAATTTTCATTTTCTGTGCATAATATTTTCAAGTGTATGTACAGATATTAAAAAAAATTGTTTTTCTTTTTTTTTTTTTAAATCATAAAACATTAAACCAAATGGAAATAAAGTAATTGTTGTAAAAGAAAGAACAAAAAAAAGGAAAGAAGAAAAAAACAAGAACTGAATAAACAAATTAATGAGTAAATAACGTAAAGAATTAAATTTAATATATAGCGAAAAGAATGTTATTCACCCACACCATCAACAAAGTTATGTGTTATTTGTTGAAATTTTGTCTTGCTTACCAGCACTTGTCCGTGGCTTTGTACGCGGTTTAACGTCCGGCTTCACATCTGCCGAGTTCCCACTGCTGAAACCTGTTGTACTGTTCGAATTGCCCCCTAAGGCGCCCGACATACCATGTCCGACGCCGATACCATGGGCCATACTCGATGTCCCGGCGCTCCCCATACCGTGATGATGATGGCTATGATGATGATGTCGGGCAACGGCCGCTGCCGCCATTGAGGAACTTTGAAACATACCAGCTGCAGCAGCGGCTGCCGCTTGATGTTGAGCAGCCGCATGATGATGTGCCGCATACGACACATAACTGCTATCATAATTGCTATTGTTCGTGTTGCCCGCAACACCATTACTACTCCCCAGCCCCGAACTGCCCAAGCTGCCGTAGTGCCCTTGTGCGACCCCATCGAAGAGACCGGTATTACTACTATTCGAATGGTGCGCAGCGTTTTGTGACGCCGAGGTAGTCGCACCTCCTGACGATGAAGAGGGAACATGAGTCTGATTGTGATTCGTTTGTATTGAATTATTATTTTGATTACTATTATTAATGCTATTATTGTTGTTATTGGATGTTTGATTGTTATTATTATTAGTACCTTCACGTTGTTTGGGTGCTGATGACTGGGCAGTGCCGTTGTGACCGCTCGACGAATTACTATTCTGTATGGTGGGTTTTATATCTAAAGCACAACTCGTATCAGCTAGCGTCGTAGCTCCTGTTGCTTGAGCTTGATGCATAAAAGCGTTTACAACAGCCTGAAAATAATTGCAGAGTACAAAAAATATGTTAGATGGGAATGCTTTAAGAAAAGAGTGCCGAAAGCGGACGTTTCATTAATAATTTTTAATTAATTTAAAAACTTTTACTTAATATTTGTACCTGAAACGTACTCAACGCGATTATCTTGTGCGCATTATTTTCACTTGGTTACAAAATTCGTCTCGGACAAAGACGGAATTAGCTGACGGATGCCAAGTCACCTTGCCTACATTGTTAAAGGGTTAAGGTCATGCATGATAGGGCTTCTATATATTTTATAGGGATCGTTGTGCTTGCGCTGGGCTTGCAGACATCTTTCCAAGTCGGTTTTTATGGCTTATCGTGAGTCTTACCTTTCGTAACGTTTCGTTTGTTTAAGAAAATGTCAGTGCAACTTTTTCTACTTTAGTAATTAATTGCAGTAGCATCATAGAAGCCAGATCCTGTTTTATAGAAGCAAAAGTCTTTTAACTTTTGTTAGAGACAGGCTGGTCGTTAGCGTGAGTTTAGGAGATCACGAAATAGATGGGAAACGATTTATTCCCTAACAGTGCTTGGTGCAATAACAAAGTACAACTTGGTTCTGGCCCAATATAGCCATGCAAGCTTTTAAACCCCGTCGCAAGCAACTAGTCTTCCGAGCACCACAAATTTTTGTTCAAAGTTTTTGATCAAAGTCTGCTGATAATATAAAAATTTTTCCCTCTTCCCACCTAACATATTACGATTTTTTTGTTTTTGCCACCTAGGAAGGACAAACGAAATGGACAATGACTTTCGAGACTTGAGAACGCAGTTAATTCATTTAAATGACAAACAATTAATTATGAGCAAGTGCTTGACGGACCGCTTTCAGTGCGTGGAAGAGAGTAATGTACCTTTCAAGTATGTGTTAGTTTCTATTGCCATAACAATGAGCTTTCAGCTGAGTTTTGTAATAATTGGAAAAATTGAATTAAATGTTTTACCTGATACTCCGACGGACCTGTTTGTACTGAATCAGGAGTTGAATCTTTTGGCGGTGTGGGAGGAAACGGAAACGAATGCTGCCCCGTTACTGAAGATTGATGCGTTTGACCAACTTGAGATAATTTATGATCCAATTGCGGTTCTTGGGGACAAGCAAACGGGCTTCCCCAGGGACTGGCGGGTGCAAACGATTTGTGATCGCTGGTCAGCCACGAACTCAGTGGTGGATGAAAGTGCGGCCGACACATTTGAGGTGATGAATGTGATGATGGCATTCGAGAAGCTGTAAAGCAAAAAGAATAACACTTATAAGGTCAAAACTTATACAAAGCTAAAGTGTTATATGATTTGTTGCAGTCATGATGCCTTAAATCAATTATCAGTAACAATTTATATATGTATTTTGTGTAGGTTTTTGTCTGTTATCCGCACATATACTACACACAAATGTTCGAAAGTAAAAAGTGAGCCCTTTTGTTGTTTATATATAGTTAGTTATCTTCATACTACATACTTTTTTGTTTGAGATTTGGAAACCAGAAGCGTCCAAGATTTATAATAATAAATGGTGTTTAAAGCAAAATAAAACAACATAAAAAATCGCCACAGTATGAATTGTATGCACACATATACACAGGCATAGCCATGAAAATACATTGACTTTAAGAGTAAAGAGGAAAAAAAAAAAAAATGGCGAGTGTTATAATTTATGACTGCCGCCGTCAGAACGCACCATTTGCTGCCGCTTGCAGCAGAAGCTCGATGATGCAATTGAATATATATGTGTGTATAAATATATAAATATATATATATATATATATATATATATATCTATATATCTATATAAACATTTACATGTATATGTACGTATGTATGCATATCCATGTCAATGCAACTATGTTAAGCCTAGAGCTGATAAGTTTAGGAACGATTTCCGTACAAAGTACTGGTGATCCTTAAAGCTTTCTTTTTTCTTTCTTATTTTTTTTTTATTATTTTTTTGCATATCGCAGATTATTCGTTTACTTGCCGTCGTTTGTCGTCATAAATTGTTTAATTTGTATCATAAACAACCGCGTTAAACTTTGTCCTAAAGCCAAACAGATCGATCATGGTGCACCGGGCATCCATCGATCGTTGCTTATGCCCCAGGAATAAACGCAATAACAGTTTGATTGTCTTTACCGTAGCAGATGTGGTAGAGACTTTACCGCCTTGAAAATAATGCCTTATCTGCCTCCTACCTCCTCCCTTCATTAGTTCTACAAACTAAGGCGTACTGTGTATTGTATAAGCGAAGTTAACATTTTATAAGCTGTAATTTAGCGAACACCAAGTGAGATTTATGTACATTCAAAAGTTACCATTTTTCGATCATAGTGTTGCATGCGCATACATAGGCACGTAAACAATATTGCACCAGCTCCTTGTCAAACAACTAGTGTAACGTCAGCATTACCAGCATCAGGTTATGTGCTTGTCAGCATTAATGTTCGCTGTATATATTGTATATATTCACAAGTAACTTGTACAGTGTGTTAACAAAATTTTTATCTTATCTCAAAAGCGATTTCCCTAAGAAATTAGAAAATAAGTTAAACTCTGAGAAGATAAGTATCTGAGAAAAAGAAGAAAAAACATTTAATTTTGTAATTTTTGAACAAAATTCCGAATTGTTTCCCACATTCACTTTAAATATCTCTAAAATCTGTAAGGCGAAGGTAATTAGGGCCCCTTGAGGTCACAAAAGTGTAGAAAAACTGTTTTGTTATTAAAGAATCCAGAGGAGCTTGGAAATGCTTTAAGAAGCCGAAATCGGGAATGTACACAAACTTAAACATACCTTTTAATCCTTAACACTAGTTCTTCTTCTTGTTTCTTTTAACTACAACCGTCTTGTCTTGTTCTTTTTTAACTATAATCGATTTTAGACATACATGTTTCATCGGCGAAAGACACTGTATTGCATTGCGTAAAATGTATGGCGAGGAACACAAAATTAGCTGAAACAATGATAACAGATAATAGTCGCACAGATTACATTTCGATCCTTCAGTTGTTATCAGCAGCCTTTAGTGTTTCTCTTCTTATTATAATGTTTTTCGTTTCTATAAATCGAATATCACTAAGCACTAGACTCGCTGATACCTAATTTTAGTGAGCAGAGGAGAGAAGAAAAGCCAAACCCGAAAAAATAATTGAGCCAAAAGCAAGAGTTTATCCCCCCAATCCAATATTTCAAAAGGTCTTGATTTATTTTAGCTTATTTTAGAGAACTGTCTTGAAAAGGAATTGTATCACGATTCTTCATCAAGATTAAAATTTCTTCAAACGCCTAACCTTAATATTATTCGTACAATGATCTCATGTTTCAATGTCGTTTTGAACCAAAGCGTTTCTTTGAAACCTCTACAGTTTTGCGAAGATTGTTGCACTCACCATCACATTTGATCATTCGTTGATTCGATTTTAGGGAAAAGCCCTTGATAAAGAGTAAAGGAATAAGAAATTCGCTAATGAAAGTGCATTCATCTTTAAGGTCTCATTTATTTGTGGCTAAGAATCTTTTTTTCGATTCAGATTAAAATGCTTGGAAGTTTTCAGAAAGTGCTTGAATTCTTAGCTATTGTAAGTATTCAGTTCGCTTGTTTTCATTTTATTCTTTACGTTATTAAATACGGGAGAAAGGGAGATACGCACACACACACACACACACGCACACACACACACACATACACACAGGAGAAAGAGAAAGAAAGAAGGAAAGAAAGAGTGAGAGATTTAAAGTTTCAAACTGATAAGGAAATCATGCATTAGTTATGCGGATTAAGAGGCTTCGAAGATCCACTTTTAATGGACATAGTTCGTTCCGTTTACTTCGGTAGTGATCAAAACATCACTTTAGATGTATGTAAATTTTTGGTTGTTACAGTTTCGTAAAACTGTTATTGTTTAGTAAGAAATATAAGAACCTAACTGCATTTAATATATTGTTGTTGTGTATGTTTTTGTTATTATCATAATTGTAATTATGATTTATGCTGTGGTCTGTAACTTTTTCGTTTGTATTCTGTTTTCATTTTTAGCCTCCAGATTACTAAAACTTTTTCTTTTTGCGTTATTGTTTTTTATTATTATTTATTTTTTTCTTTTTAAAGATCTACGCAAAACCAATGCGAACACGCACTGACATTTCGCAGTTAACTTTCCACCTGCAGGAACTGACAAAATGTTTGCCAAAAATATGTTCGCGAATGACATTCTCTTCCGTTCATGTTCAATTATCTTTAGTTGTTGTATTATGTGTTCTGCTTTAGATATTGATAACGTAATGTTCGTGTAAACATTGAACATTTCTTGAGTAAAGAAAAAGCAGGCAGGAGCAGCTATTAGGTGCTTTAGGCGAATTGTAACTACGCACTAAATGCTTAAGTTTCTAATGTTTTTACAAAAATGCTTTTTTTTTCATGTGTGCAAATTCTAAGCTACTCTTTGAAAACTGTAGCCTATATTCAGTGCTAGACTCAACGGTAGGAAAATGAGTTCTAAAATCTGCTTTGAAAAAGTGGCAAAGTGTTGGTCCTTTCGTCGACTATTTTCTTGACACACAAATTTCAAGCAATAAGGCTGCACTACTCGGGCCAGACTCTATTCAATAACATTTTAAGCAGACTTGGCGATGTAGAAATGTGTCTTTAACGACGAACTTTTAAAGTGAAATTTTTGCAATGAACTATCACTTACTAAAGAATGTCGACGTAAGCGTTTCTACCTCCGTACCTGTGTGGCACCTTGCTGTAACAAAGAATGAGCGGCAGATAAGGTAATGTATTCGCCCGCACTTTTGTAAGGGCGTTATATGGGAAGTAACGACTTACAATTGATGGATTGTAGAATCTTTATGGCCTTAGCGGATAAATTCATATAAAAACCATGTTTGTCGTAAAGTAAAACATAAGCCTCTGTCAAATCTTATCAATTTGAATTGTTGCTTGAAGCTTGTTTGGTGGAGTGGAAGAGTCTGA